GTGGAACAGCTGCCAAAATGTCTCCACCCCCCGCCCCACCTCCTCCCCTCGCCGAAGTGCGCCGGTGATACGTTTAAAGGCAGTTGGCACGATAAATCCCCCAAGGCGACTAGGATCAATACTCCTGGCAGGATAGAATTCCGCGACCCTGGGCAGGCGCTGCATAGCGGTTTCCCCGAGGAAGTGCCCTTATAAGGGCCCTATCAAGCCACAACTTTACGTCCCAAACGCCCGCCACGCCCGCCCGCCCACAAATGGACGACCGTTCCTGACGCTCGTATTCATTCATTTGCTAAGCAAATTATGAAGCGAAGGGATTGGTATGATGCTGCATGCATACATGGGTACACATATGCAGCCGTATCTTCGGTAGCGGTGATTGGTAAGATGCCTACGGGAAACTCGTCCGAAATCGATTACTAACACAGTGAGAAGTGAAACTGTGAAACGGTCAAAATCCCCGGGATTTTGACCGTTTCACTCCGTTCTTTCGCCATTTCCCCACTATATAGCGCCCTACTAGCATTTTAGGCCGAGCACCAAATCATCGTGCCAACTGCCTTTAAGATCAGCTTCTATACGAGCTAGTATGAAATCGTCAACGTATGCGAGATTATCCCAAGATACTTGGAAGGTTGAACCATATTGGTAACTTTCATGATCTTTCTACCCTCCCAAACTAATTTCGATACCAGTCAAGCGACCCCGGATTAATGGAAGAGCTTATTGGGCAAAGTTCGATTCCATACCGTCCCAATCCCATGCACCCACACCTACGAACCTCATGAGGATCGCAATTCAATAGCAGGTGTTCTCAAAATGCACAGTTGATATCGTCGCAATCCGGGGACCAGGCGTGGAGTGAACCCGCCTCGGTTGCGCCCTCCACCAGTAAGTGCTACGTTTAGGTAGAAAACAATAGATGGTACAAAACGTCACAGGCGGGCTCATTCACGCTCCGTCAGTGTGCTATAACACCAACGATAAGTACTAGAGCAAGGTCCACTAGACCCTGCCCAACACATTTCATCCATCTGCTCCCTTCGAAGAACGGAAACAGGGCGAAGTAACACTAAACTATGGCACTAATAGGGTAATTAGTAACGATTCGCAACTTCGTACATGAATAGTGAGCAGAACAAGGTCAATATCGTCCTATCGTCTCCATGCTACCTAAAGGGGGTCCACCCATTGGTACTAGTAGATATTGTTTTTCAACAAATAGTGACGTTCGCGTTTTCTTCAACAGGAAAACAATCGTTTCAGGACCGAAAAACTTTTTTTCAGAGATAGCCTAGGCAGAATCATTACTATCGGCTTTTCTACGTTTTCGGACGTAGCCTAATAGCTCCAGCCTTGCTGAGCGCCCGAAGTTAAGATGGGAAGGCGCGCTCTGAATTGGTGGAACCCAATGTATCTTTCTGCTAAAAATTAGAACAGATGCTGGTACCGCAAGACAAAACGGCTGGAGTGTAATGGGCGTAAGGCAATCGCTACAACTTGAAGACTGACAATTTATGACGCTCTATCGCAGCGGCACTTGTGGTACGATTCTCCGCTAATGCAACTAGTGATAAGGATACATCGGGATAAAAGCATGCTTAGTCGAGTTGGTGGCAGCATGCGAGTTACGGAACAGTAATGAAATACAAATAGAGAATTCACTATATGTTATAGCGTATGAGTCGCGCTCTTCTTTAACGCAATCTGGTGCGCCACTCCGCAAGAGGATAGCATCCTGGCGAATCGTTCATCAACGAAGATTGTTAGCTTGACGACAACGATGCAAAGAGGATCATTCTCAAACCATCACCTGCATAGGTTTAAGCCTTACATCAACCAAATCGGGCGGAAGCTTGTGGATGGAGAGAGCGCACACAGAGCACTCACGGCAGTCCTAGAGATGTGGAAAAGTGTGATAACATTAGCAAAGATGGCAGACCGATGGGGAGGCACGCGGCCGAAATGACAGGGCGTACTGAGAGTGGGCAGTGATTCCACAAAGATTCAGTATCTGTTTTCCGAGGAGTTTAGAGATCGCAAAAAAGTTCATGGCGAAGTAGAAGCATCTGGAGAGTGTCAGCGAAATCATGTTGAACCCGCGAGTATTCGGAGACGTGTGTAGAAAGTTAGCGATGTCACTGAAAAATTCATAATTCGGCTCTAGAGCAGTTCCGGGATGGGAAAACAGTGGAATAAGGTTAGCAAAGGGCCGACAGAAGAAATAGATTAGACGCGGAGACTACTCCAGATGGGCAGTGCTTCCCACGAAATTCGGTTGGCCGACTACATGGCGAAAAAACCGCGTCTTGAGACGAATCCAATCAGCTGATTCCTTACAATGAACCCTTGGACCGCTCAAGAAAGAGTGAAGCCTCTCTTTTTTGCTGCTTTTCGCTTCGTCGTCGCTGGAAAGAAGGTTTCAATGGAGCAGCTTAACGCCTTAGCGCCTTTATCTTACAGCTTTTTCCCGCAAAGCTAGTACCAAGTTGTCCTTCACAACCCACACTACCCTTCCCATGTCATTATCATCGGTGATCTTTGAGTACTGATAGGTATCCATGGAGTGGATCCAACATCACACGCATGAGTCGAATCCATGATCGCATTCTGCTCAGGACCAGGACAGTCCTGATTATATCAGGAGAGCTAATTAGTTTCTGCACATTAGTACATAACCCGGGATGATAGTTATCTCAGATGGAAATTTCCGAATAAAAGCGTATCCTACGCCTTGTTTAAATGAGGCACGCAGCCACGACCCTTTCACCGGTATGTATGGGTATGGGCGAGCTGGAAACACATGTTAGGCCTTCGTAATTTGACTTTTGTGTATGTGTGGGCTTCTAATGTGCTACTAACCACGCTAGTGCTAGCATTTGATCATTGGATAACGGCTGGTGGTGACAGTTTGTCAGTAATATGTGTGGTGAGCTGTACAGTTCGGATCCTTTTAATAACCAAGCGATTTCAGGAGCAGTTCGACATGTGCACTATTCAAGAACATGACGAAGAAGAGTATCTGTAGTGTTGTGTGGATCATCATTAGAAAATCGTTTGTTCATCAGGCCAGTCCGGATCCAATCGGGTCATCATTAGATCGTTTCTATGGAGAGGGTTGGATAATATGTGTGTTCCCATTATTGCATCATTGTTCTATTTGTTGGCCTGTTCATTATTATTATTACTATTATCACCATTGACATCGATTATTGATGTGTTAATCAAAACTTATCACTGTTGCGCCTTATCGGATTCCCTTAGTGGGTTGTTTGGAGTTTCTCTCTGTACGTATTTTTTCACAATGTGTAAACTAAGCGTGTTTTATCATTTTTTGTGAACTTCTTCCTCCATTCAACGCTCGTACTTGTCCGTGATCTCTTGCCAATTTTCGTTTTCCGGTTAGGCTATTCATTTCTTTTGTTTACTTTCATTTCAATTCTTTACGTCTATAGAAAGTGCTACACGCCATGTTGGCAGCATTCATATCTTTTACTTCCTCATTGTTTCTTCATTTAGTCGGAAAGGATGTTTGACAGCTCCTTTGAGTCCCCGTCAGGCCCGGTCCCACTTAATTGTTCTGTTCGGTAACCCCCACTGTAAGCAGTGTGCTGTCTCAGACATGTGATGTATGGATTCTATCTCAGGATGACTGCGGTATATAAATTCTATTTCCATGTTCTTGTTACTGAAAAGGTCATCTATTGCCCTGTCCCACTTACAATTAGTTGCCGCGCTGGCGACGCTGAAAAACCTACTGTTTCTGAAGGCTGACTGAAGGTGCCCAACCACGGCAAAACTTTGGGAAGTTCAGTAAGTTGATTGTTGTTAGGGAATCGCACCTGACGAGAAAATTTCGGGGGCGAGGGAAATGGTCGTATTAAGCGAAAAATTCTTCTCAATACCAAGACTCGCTCTGACGATAATCTTCCAGAACGCTTTTGAAGCTATTCAAACATAGGCATATAAGGAAGGGTGCACATGCGGGTACCGTTAACTTATTTATTTGTGGACGCAGTGTCTCTGCGCTTTGGACAATCAACAAGAACGAAAACAATCACACGAAGCACATCAATTGAAGTCAAACAATCCCGTAGATGCGAGAACTTAGGAGACCTCTGGCCCTAGCCTGGTGGCCCTTATACGAAAGGCTCCAGGTGACGATTGGAAAATATCTTCGCCAAAAATTTTGTTCAATAAGTGTAGCACTCTGATCGCAAAGAATTTAGACCTGACTTGGGTTCTCGATACAGGAGCCCTGATCTTGATAGCGCTTCCTCTAGCGCTTCCTCTAGTCCTCGAGGTAACTAAAGTGAAGAACTCATCCGATTTAACCGTTGCTCTACCTGTTAGGATCTTGAAAGCCATCATGAGTCATTGATCGATCTTCTATCAAGGAGACTAGGTAGGCCGTAAAGACGCCTTTCCACTGCGCTTGGTAGAGTGTCATAGCTCATTCCGGAACATCGGAGGGCAAGTTTACGAGTTCTGCACACATTCCAAGAGCTTATCCTTTTTTTATATGGCGAGAACACCGAAGTACCATGTTCCACTATAGGTCAGGTCATTTATTGATGCTCTTCGGACTGTAGCAAAGCACTCAAAACATATGGCCTCCTCAAAAGTCTCTAAAACAGCACGGCGAGCGTACCCGCTGATATCATCAGCTATACATTTGGGTACAAGAGATTGCTGACCATTCTACTACAGTGTCACCCTTAATGTTACTATACATTAAGGGTGACACTGAGAAGGAGTATGAAAGGGAGGATCGCGCTGGCTCAGCGGTAATAGCTTTTTCTGAATCAACGCCTCTTCTCAAGGATGAAAATATTTACCGGTGAGTTTCATGCAGTTTCATGAAGAATTTTCACCCTGTAAGATTACATAGGATGTTTTTTCTCTGGAAATTCTATTTCCATTAATTTTTCGCATGTCTGAAGTGGAGTGTGAAGTCGACGAAATCGGGTGCAGCCTCTTTTCTGCAAATGATTGAAAAGCTGGAACCGCCTATTTTTAAACATGTCGCCCCTGAGGATTAGTAGTAATGGGAACAGAATACATTAGGAGAAAATTTCCGCATTTCCACATTTCACTGCAAAATAAAATGCCCTCATTTATAGACCAACCCAGTACAGTGAGGCACTGGACAAGAGCGTCACGTCACAGTTTCTGCTTTACATCGGGCAACTCTAGCCAACGCGATTCAGGGAAATCCAAGGTGATCGTGAACAGAAAGACAATCCGTCAGGTGCTGAGGGATTGAATAGCTCCTGCGGGCGAATTTGATCACACAGGTCTACGTCCTTAATCGTGTTGGAGCACATTTGCCGATACACCCTTACATGGTTCATTTTTTCTAAACAGCAATTTTAACAGTAGGCCGATGGATTTTCGAAAATTATGCGAGTTTTTCTGTTTAAACGACAGTAATTTTCCTTCAGCAGAAACTGCAAAATTGAGAGCGATTCTAGAAGAAAGGGGCTCTCTCTTTTTCGAAGGTTACGTAACATCCTTCTGAAGTTCCCAGTGTTCATGAGATAAATGCGTTGGGGATTAATATGGGAAAACTTCGAGCTACACGAAAAACTCGTCTCCATTTCAAGTGGGCGTGTTCGGATACTTAAGAATGTGTACAGAACAGATCCTTCTGCGAAAGAGAAGAAGGCTACGGTTGGTTCAGCACCTTTTAGCTTCACCTCTGGATGCACCGTGCAAAAGGCTCCCACGCACCAGTGGTGGTATGATGGAACTTTCACGCAAGCATTCAGGTTGTACTGTCTGGTTATCTGCTTACTTATGAACTTATGTCACCTTATTAATTCCGCTAGTTAGACATTTCAATTTTTTGGAAACGTTTCAACACCCGGGTTCTCTAAAAAGTATTTTTGATAAGCAAATAGCAGCAGCCTTCACCTTTACGTTGTTGTTGCTGACAGAAGCCCGCCAACGCTTTCCCTCCCCCCCCCACTACAGCAATCA